CAGCATGCGTTTGGACATTTGGAGAACTTGGAAGTTTGAAAGATTTGGAGATTTGAAAATTGATATTTAAAAATAGAAATTTCACCATCGTGCACTTAAAGCGGATGTGGGGGAGTGGATGATAGACCCGATCAAGATCCCATGGTTCCGTCGTCCCGGACCATCATGACCCTGGTCTACTTAGTCAGAGGAGGTCGTCGACCAACCTGACAGAAGATCTTTTGTCGGCAACCATGGGTTGCTTCGTCCAGATACATTGTAGACCTGGGGTGGGTATTTCCCTAAGGGGATAAAATTTGAATCCACCTAAGTAACAGAGGGCTTTGTGCCCTACCGATCATATCTATTGATTCACATCTCAAGATTTTGATGCCTAAGGAATGTATTGGATCTGGCATGAACCAGTTATCTGTGGTGCCATTTGGCGGCAAAACCACTCGGTTCAGAGGGCACGGGTCATAACCGTTTATCCTGCGGTGCTATTTGGCGGGCAAACCGCCGGTCAGAAGACACGTACCACATCCTTATTGGCAGGAGATTGGTTTGAGAATGGATCCTAATGATATTTTCGACTAGGCATTTGGCTCTTTGTGAGCTGAAGTAAATTTTGATGTTGTCCACCTTGGAAAACTGTTGGCGGAGGGTTGATGAATTTTTGCTTTGAGTGGTTGGTGGATAGATTTCAATTTTAAACATATGGATTAGAATGATTTTGGATTTTTGGAGTATTTGGGTGGCATTTGAAAATATTTGAAAACCCCTCCGGTTGAGATAGACATTCAACACGGTCATCATCGGGGTGTTTGGGGCCATTTCCATTTGATTGATCGAACCCTGTCGACTCGATCGGGCTGTTGATCGAGGATCGAGTTTCTTGTAGGCTTTGTGTCCTTTGATTAGTGAATTCTTTTGATTTTAGGTCTTGAAGGCCTAAATGATGTATTGAAACAAATACACCGGTCGTCACAGCCGTGTATTCGTTAAAGGGTTCAGACCCCTGTCGACTTCTTTGATCCGTATATAAGGATCGGGTTCGAACTAGAATTCACTTATCGCCCGCGCAGCATCCCTAGGCGTCACGTGTGTACCAATAACACGCTCGCCGAGGCCCATGCGGATGATTTTATATAATTTAGACGTACCCCATTGTGTACCTTGTGTATGCAATTATAGTGCATGTGATGGATACTTTAAAATATTGTAGTTGTGTAAGATAAACTATCGTTTGGATGCACACAACTTTTCATTTGAAAGCTTATACACGCCTTCTGTCCGCTAATACGAGTGTTGCGGATCCGGTGGCGTAGCGTTGTAGGTTGTAGACGCCTTCTGTCTGCTTGTATCAGTGTTGCAGATCCGGTGGCGTGCATCTTGATATTGACTCCCCCTTTCTCATTCACCGGGGATGGATTTTCTGGATTTTGGAGTCAAGACTGCTGATTTGGAAAGAACCTTTTAAGCTCTTCGGCGTAGTTGGAC